TGCTCCATGTTCGACACCTCCTGCTGGTTGTCACGGGCAGGTCGCATGGACCGCGTCATGGGCAGGTCCTGCATGGTTGTGGTCCATGTTGCCCACCTCCTGCTGGTTGTCTTGCGGTGGTGGTGCGCCTGGTGGTGCCTCTGCCTCTGACGGTGGGTCTGGCAGCAGGTTGTGGTGATAGTTTTGCATGTTGCAGTGCCACGTATGGCGACCGTGGGCGCACTCCCTGTGCCGTGGGTCTGATTAATAGGACATGCGCTTGCAGTGAGGTGCACAGCGTGGTATGTATGGCTCTGGGTTGGTCCCTGGCCATACCTGCGCGCCCCATGGAGTGCTCGTCCATGCCTGCTCTGCAATTCTGGCAGCAGAATCGGCGTGGAAAGAACACCACCCTTGCTTGCGCCTCTGGAATGGCAGCAGCTGAATTCAACATTATGCAACTGCAAAAAAATTGAAGAGCCCAGAGGCTTGCAATCTGGCAACTCCAATGCATGAAACAGCCCATAGGCTTGCAATGTCACAGCTGCAGCGAGCTGCTGGGCTGCACTTCTGGATTTTTTCTGGCAAGCGCGGGGTGTGCAAGCAATCTGAAGAATTGCGCTGGGACTGCTACACTTGGAATTCCTGGATTTGAATTTGACATGAAAAATATTGATTGGGCCCTATATACATGCACTCAACCCTACATTATAAGTTTTTTACCCTAAACCCCTTAACCTATTCAGGTTCCCAAGCGTGGCAGTTGCAAGCTATTGGCCATCTATGCTCCTTAAGAGCATGGCTGCTGGTGCCATTTAAAATTGGGCTGCCGTGGCGCAGCTCCAAAGCTGAATCAAGCGGTCTTGGCCTTCTTCTTGGCCAGGCTTGCTTCTGTCTTGGTCTGGCACTTGCCTTTGGCAATTGCCTGGCCCATGTCCTTCTCTTCTTTTGGATAGCGCAGCAATGTTTTTGCTGGCAACGCGCTGGCATTCTGCAGGATGGGGATTTGGGTGCCATTCACTTTGTTGTGGGCCCATACCATGTTGTCACTGTCTGGTGCCGTGGCTGCTTTGCACCAAAAGAAGGGTGTCAGGCACCCAGCATCTGCTGTCCCTTGGAGCATGGAATCTTGCTTGAATGCATTGATGGTCCACTTGTGGCCGAAGTGGTTGATGGTGAGCTTCTTGCTGGTCTCGCCTGGGCCTTTCAGCTTGGCAATGGATCCCAGTGGAACCAAATGCAACGCGGCCTTTTTGACAGCCTTCAACGTGTGCAGGCCTTGGGGCTGGCGTGAGAAAGCAATGTCCTCTGGATCCAATGCATGCTGCTCATGGGCAGCGTGGAGGGCAGCGGCGATCTGGACCCTCTGCAAACCCTCTTGGCAGATGGCGTTAAATTGGGGCCGGCCACGCTGGATCACTTCCAAACTGGCAAGCTGCGGCATGCCTGTTTTGGTCAGCCGCCATTTCCTCAAGTCCGCCAGTGGAACATGGACCTCTTCCTCTGGCGCCAAAACTGGGCGATGCACCATAATGGCTCCTGCGTCCTCGAGTTTTTGGAATTCGAAAACCTTCTGGCCATGCTCTTTGGGCATGGTGTACCTGAAGTATAAACGGAATCATGATGGGAATATCTTCGTAGCAAGCCTTAAGTGTATAAACCCTAAACCCTAAATCCTAAACCCTAAACACACCTTCAAGTAAAATTATGAAAAACCGATAAAGAGGTGCGAAAATGAAAAGCATGCGTGCAAGACCGGCTGCAATTGATGGAGCTGCGTGTGCGAGTTCTGCATCATGGCCACTGTGGCTGCGCTGGCTGCAGAAAGATCTGCCACCACTTCTTGGTTGGAGCTGGAATTGGTTGCAGCATCAGCAGCCTGGTCCTGGCTAGGAAGCCCTTGGACCTCCTGGGTGAAAGCTTGCAAGATGTCTTCCAAATTGGACCCGTTGGCTTTCTCTCTGGAATACTTCTGCTTTCGTGTCAGGTACAAAATGGCCCTGACACAAAGCTTGCCAAAGCAACGGTGCAGATGCGTCGAATGCTTTGCTGCATTGGCTTTGCTCTGCATGGAAGCTTGGACAACCTTCCAACAATCGGCTAGAATGGACTCAGCCTTGGTCACCTCTGGGGCAAGGGCAGGAGACGCCGTCCTCTGCAGGTCTGCTTTGCTGAGGAGCTTGGAAACCCCGTCTGCGTGCTTGTTGGTCGTGAGTTGGGTTGCCCAACACGCAGCCCGAATGTATGGGAAAACATTCGTGGGACTCATGAAATGCTGGTGGGCCAGCTGATGGCAGAATTCTTCACCCAACAACAACGCTGTGCCCCATTGGGAAGAGAAATTGGACAGGAATTTTATCAATGGAAATTCTGGTCCGCCTGAGTAGCGCTGAACGTAGTGGCAGATGCTTGGAAGAGACATCCTTGCCTGGACATCTCCAGCTTGCAGTTTGGCCATGCCGTCCTTCAAACTGGTGCCAGCTTGGTGGAGCGCCGCAAGCTGGCAGGCCACTTCTAGTTCATTTATTGGCTTCGCAATCGAGTTGGTGCTG